CCATTGGATGGCAGCTCATGGCAGCTCATGGCAGCTCATGCCCACTGCCGGCCAGCCCTACTACAGCCTATGCTGTTGCCGGCGAGTCAAGGAAGCCCAGCTCCAGGTCAAGCTGTTGTTCACCATCTTAGCTGTAGAGGGCGCAGTGTAGCTGGCCCTCATGTGGGATCCAAACCCGGGGCCCTGCTGCTCAGAGCTGACGTCCCAAGCCAACTCTTAACCAACGTGCTATTCAGCCGGCCCTGTAAGCTTCTTAAAAGCAGGAACTATGTCTTCTATATCTCTGTGCCCAACACTTGAGTAATGGTTCAATAATTATTGGAACTGAACTCAGTTTTAAATCTTCCAGTTTCCCAAGCTGAAAATATGGGTTTGACCAGGGTTGACTATAATGAAAGGATCATCTCAAATTTCCTTCACATTCTTCCCCTATTATATAACAAATGTTATTACCAGATTGACTACTTCCTAAAATATATCATAGGTTATTCAAATATTTAATAGTAAGTAAGACAGTAGGTGTCAAAAATGAAAACAGAATATGTGAATGACTCTGACCTGAAGCAACAATTGGATCAAGGATAAATATTTCTTCCTCTTTTGATAATGTGGTTGCATCCATTTCTTCATTTTCAGGTAGACATATACACTCTGGATTATCTGGTTCTACTAATCAACATCACCATAAAAGGAATTATAAAAAAAAACCAAAATGGTTATGTTACAAACTAGAGGACTATATGAGAATTAAAGTAAAAATTAAACTAATTGAAGATTTATTTTGCTAATAAATTAGCAAAAGAGCCACATCTGAATTCTTAGAATTATGTATTGAATAGAGTTGAAGAGACACAGATATTATATGGTCTGGGGCCCACAATATCTAGGTGAGTCAAGTATTATCACTCTCTTTTGCACATGTGACATATAAGGCCGGATTTAGATGTGACAGTGAAAACAGTGGCACCAACCATATTAAATGACTGACTTAAATTTGATTACGTCTGCCAAAAATATTTGTATTCTGTTAAATCATTTAATTATCAGTTGACCCAAAAAGAACCATAACTAAGTTTTTATTGCCCATGTCTTTTCACATTTTAAATTTCTATTATTGTGTTAGAAAGCAAATGTAACCTTAAAAAGAGTGAAGAAACAAAATGGAGCTAATCATACTTTTAATTCTTAAAAAAAAGCAGATAAAAGACCTCAAATCATTTGAGGTACCTTCACATGAATTTCAAGTAGAAAATATCCCTCCATTTGTAATTTCTTTCAAATTGTATATAGGTTATCAAACCATATTAATATTCATATGGCATTAATATTAATACGTAATAACCATGTTAATGTCAAACATTAATGATGTTTTTACCATGTAACATATATTAATTTAATGATTCAAATGCACAGTATTTTGGCAGGGTATTTAAATGTACTCTCATACCAAATAAACCCATTCCTGGTTAAATGGCCATTATTGTCTCTTTCTCAGAACAAAATTTCCTATTCTACATTGTCTAGAGTCAGACTAAGAGGGTTTGAGGAACGTTTTTTATTATCTTTCGCTATATTATCCTGCTACTTAAAATCAGAAGTTCTGAGGCTTAAATTGAATATTAGCATCTGTTTACTTTCTACACAAAGGAAAATTCCAACATACCCACTATAATATCAGTAGGCTCAGGAGGCAGGGAAATTTCTCCGTTCAAATGTATGTCTTCTAACAGGATATTCTCATCATCTTGCAATAAAATGTCTTGAAAAACACAATAAATGTTTTTGTCATCAGAGGTGAATATCATTTGTTCACTAAACCTTTATTGACATTATTATATGCAAGGAATTATGAAAGGGTTAAAGAAAGTGAATGAACCTTATTTACTTAGATTTGATTGGTTACATAGACTATCACATTTCATGCAGGATGACATAGAATTTTATATATTTAATTTCCTTTCCTTTATTAAAAATCTATTTTTAAATGTTTAATTTCAATAAATATTTACTAAACTAATATCAAGATAATAGCCTTGTCACAAAGTTGGATTTCCCAGTTTTTGTCTACGCTATTTCTATGATTACTTTATAATATCATAATATAAAAATAAAATAATAATATAAAATGCTAGGTAGATCCTTTAGAATAGCTGTCCTGCTATTTCTGTTAAAGAAAGCAATGTTTTTTAGTATATGATCTAGTATATTTTGTGAGGAATATACTAAACTTATTCTTTCCCCCTAAAAATAAGGAATTTTAAGAAATATAAACAAGCAGTATTTCACAACCTGCATGGAAAATGTATTTAAACAGATGGCTATTTACTTAGACCCAGCCTAAATGTTTAAATATTCCATAAACTTTGAAAACTTATGTATAAAATGTGTTGATTTATATGACATACAAGCATATCTGAAATTTTAGTTTGATCTAATAAATTTACTAATATATTACAGTAACCTGATAGAAATAAATATCCAATTTCTATAGAACCAGACAGCATACCAATCATATCTCCTGCAGCCCCTTCATCTCCAAATCCATCTCCACTGTCACAGAGGAGAGATTTTTCTCCAACGAGGCTTTCAGAACTATGTTCAACTAAAGGACCACTGGAATTCAGCAATATGTTGTCATCAAAGAAGCTATGTCTTCTAAGAATTTCAGTATCCTCCCCTAAATAAATATACATCATTAATACTGAATTAGAGAAACACAGAATTTTAGGGTTAGAAGGAAATTCAGATATCATCTGTATAGCCCCCCTCATTTTACAGATAAGGAAAATGAGAGCTAAAAACTTTTGTATTATTAAACTAAAGTCACTTAGTTAATCAGTAGAAACTGGATTTCTGGTCTAATGCTTTTCCCAGCACAATAAGAAAAAAAAAAAGCCAAAACATCAGGGTAGAGTTTTTAGCTGTGTACAGTTTAATAATTTCCCAGAAGGTTATTATTGGCAGTGGAATGATTCTTCTACTTTAGGTAGGTCATGTTTTGCTTGATCAAGTCTTATTTTATATTATTTCAAGGATAATTGCTTGTGTTATTTATTCATAATGGGAGTGTGGAAAAGAAAGAGTATATCTGCCTTTTTAGGAATGGGAAGTTTGGTAAATATTAAAGAATGGGCTTACAACATTCATTCAATAAATGTTTATTGAATGACTGGGTATTAGGCAATATGCTAAGTGTTAGAAATACAGCAGTAAAGAAGACAAAAACTGGTCAGTTACCATTAACTGAGCACTTATTATGTGCCTTATATTATGCAATAGAAGATACTATTATGATACGCATTGTACAGACAAGGAAACACATCCACAGAAAGGTTTTGTAACGTGCACATAGTCATACCCTAATAAATGACAGAGCCAGGATCTGAACCCAGCAGAGCCATTGGTAGTATCAGTGTTAGAATTCTGACTGGTAAAATATTTTGCCAAATGGAGACTTAGGAGAGAAAACCCCCAAGACACTGACAGCAGCAGATAAAATAAACTCCCCGCTTCAAACTGGCCTGCTTCCAGATTGGCTGTCAGCCCATGCAGTCTTTCCCTTCCTAGGGTTAGAATCTCTAAGTCCAGGAGTCTGAAACCCCGGAGGCTCAGAAATTGGTCTTCTCTTCCTGTCCTCTAACAACCCATGTTAGTGCTAGTCAGTAAAGAAAATCATGAAGTATCATTCACATTGAAAATTCTTCTATAGGCACACATCTTCTAGAAACTAAGAGTTGAAAAAGGCAACCTTCACTGAGCTGGACTAAAGATTTCCTCAATAGAAAAGACTGACTTTTTCAAAAAGAACTAGAAATATGTTTACATCTTCTAGGTGATAGCTACCCTCCCCTCCAAAAAAAAATCAGCCTTGGTCAATAGGATAATAATAAGATTTATGACACGATATTCTTAGCACTGAGCATCACAAGAACCTGAGATAATGCAAAAAATAAATAATGAAATAATCATTGCCTTCAATCTTATATTGTAATGCAGAATAGGATGGATTTAATATTAAACATTTCTTGGGGGACATTAGGTTTGAGTTCGTTTTTGAGGGAGAGAAAATCACTCACTGATGGAAAGGTTTAAAGAAGGTAATAAGGGAAATAACCCTGTGATGTTGTTAGTAGTATCCCAATTTTACAGATAGGGCAGTAAGGCTCAGAGAATTTAGGATAATTTGCCCAATATCACATACTAAGTCAATAGAGAAAACCCAGATGCAAACCCATGTCTGTTTATCTACTAAGAACATGCTCTTCCTGCATAAACTAGAAAACGGCAAGGACAAAATCTTTGGGGGGGTGGGGGGTGGGTTTACATTTATACATCAAAAGATTCATTCTAAAGCTATTTCTACTGGCATAGAAATAGCTATTTCTATTGGCATTGTTTCAATACAAAAATGCAAATATAAAACTGATTATGACTTGTAATTTTTACTTCTCAAATATTCTCACCAATGCTTCCAGCTTGGAAAAGTAGATTATTGCCATAATCATCTCTAAGTGTGATTTCTTCTGGTTTGCTTTGGTTCTGAATAAATTGTTCTGAAACATCAATAGCACTATGGAGAAATATAACATTGGGGAAAACATATGAACAAAACAATGATTTTGCAGTATATTGCAAAGCCACAAGAACAAAAATATGTTTTATAAAAATAAGGAAACTTTCTGGGCTGGCCGAGTGGCTCAGTTGGTTAAGAGGTGGCGCAAGAGTGCGAGCTCTGAGCAACAGCGGTTCGGGTTCGAGTCCCAGCCCGAGCTGAGCAGCCGCTGAGCTGCCAACAGGTGGCAGGATGGCTCAGCTAAAGAAAAACAAACAAACAAACAAACAAAAACCAAAAAAAAAATAAGGAAACTTTCATTTTCTCAATAGTATTATTTATAAACACTAGTTTATTATACATGTATATGATTTCCGGATTGACAAATCAAATGGTTAATTCTTAGTCCTTATCTTACTCTAACCAATAGCATTTGAAATAGATGTTCACTTCCTTCCTCATGGAACACTTTCTACTCTCGGCCTCTGGGATACTTCTTTCTCAATTTTCTTCCTACCTCACTGGCTGCTCCTTATCCATTTTCTTTATTAGTTCTTCCACATCTCCCAGGCTATTAACTTATTATTATGAATGACCTAACACTCAGTCCTCAGACTTCTCTCTCTCAAATCTACACTCACTCCCTTGGGGATCTCTTATGCCTCATGGTTGAAGTTCCATCTACATACTCACAACTCCCCAATTTCTATATTCCATCCAGACTGCTTTCCTGAATCTCAGACCCAGATATTCAACTACTTTACCTACTCCCCTTGGATGTATAACAGTCATTTCAAAACTTATGCCCAAATCCTAATTTACTTCCCTGCCCCTCTTAAGCTTGCCATTCCCTAGTTATCCTAATATCATTAAGTGGTAACTCCATTCTCCTGCCAAAAATCATATAGTCATCCTTCACTTCCTTCTTTCTTTTAAAGCCATCTACAATCATCCAATTCTGTTGGCTCCGCCTTCAAAATATATCCATAATTTGAATGCTACCCCCTTGATAAAATGAAGGCTGAGAACTGATCATGGACACTGTCATCTCTTACCTGCACTTCTTACTGCAATAATCTTCTCACACTCTCTGCTTCCTCCCTTTCCCCCTTACAGTAAGTAGCCAGGGGGAGCATGTTGAAATCAAGTCAAATCTAGTCACCCTTCTATTCAAAACCCTCCTATGCTCCCTGAATTAAATAAAAGTCCTTAATGCAGCCTACAACACCCTACATCATCTGCATCCCCAGCTACCTCTCTGACCTCATTTCTTGCCACTCAGACCATCATTTACTCCCCTCGTCTCACCTGCCTCCTTTCTGTTTCTTGAAAATGTCCAGTGTACTCTGTCTTAGGGCCTTTTCACCTGCTCTACCTGGAACATTCTGCCTCACATTACTGAATTATTTGTTCCTTCACCTCCTTCAGGTTTCTGTTCTGAACATACTAGAAAAGGCTTTCCTGACCATTCTATTTTTATTTTCTATTTATCTTCATGACACAGATCATCTCCTGACATGTTGTATATTTACTTGTTCATTTGTTTATTGTCTGTCTATTCCAACTAAAATGTAAGATTCATGAGGCCAGGAGCTATGTTTTATTCATTGCTATCTCCTTAGTGCCTACAACATTGTCTGGCATATGGAAGGCATCCAATAAGTATTTACTGAATGACTGAATGAATATTCTGTCAATATTGCAAGCTACAGTCAGCAAATATAATGATACATTTTAGGTGTTGTACTTAGAAATTTCACACTAAGTTAAGTCTTTGTGACTGCATGTTTACTTCGGTTGTTAACTACATTTCATTTGTGTTCATGAACTCTGAAGATCAACAATATCGAGAAAATCAAACTGAAGGAAAATAAATAAAATCATTTACTTCACATTCTGGCTGTCAAAATCATGAAATTCTTCTGGCAGGGTGATAGCATTGTAAGCTGCTTCAAAATTCTCTTTTGGAAGGTCAACTAGTCCTTAAAAAGAATAAAACACCACACCCAATAAGAAATGATGCTATATAAAATAAGAAACTCCTACCTCAGTCTTTTTTTTTTTAAGTGAAACTTTCTCTCCCTGGACTACTGCTTAGTCTCCTAACTGGATTCCCTGTATCCACCCTGCCCTTCTTCAGTCCATTCTCCACAAAGCAGCCAGAGTGATATTTTAAATACGAAATCAGATCAGGTCACTCCCATGCTTAAAATGATTCAATGACTTCCCCAGTACATGTAAATAAAATCCCAATTTCTAATCAGGGCCTCTGCAGCCCTACAAACCTATCGGCATCATCGAACGACACTCTCTCCCTCACTCACTATACTCCAACCATACTGGCCCTTTTGTTTCCTGAACAAGTCAAGCACTTTTCCACCTCAAGGCCTTTGCCCTTGCAGTTCTCTCTGCCCAGAATGCTATTCCCTCAGGGACTTTTTACATGGCTGGGTATTTCTCATTCTTCAAGTCTGAGCTAAATTTTATCCTCTCAGAAATGTTTTTCCCAACTAGCCTAACTAAAATAAATTTTGCTGTTATTTTCTGTTGCAGTATTCTTTTTATATTCCTGGATAGTATAATACACTCAATTATAATTATAACAATTTTAGATTACAATAATTATTGTAAACCTTTTCTATTAGCTGGTTTCCTCACCAGACCGAAAGGGATCTTATTTGTCTTGTTTGTCCTTATATCCCAGAACCTTTCATAGTGTTTTACACAAAGTATGAGCTCAATAAATATTTGTGGAATACATAAATGAAATAATGAACAAATGAACCATATTAGATATCATTATGAATCTACCTAGAGATTCTACAAATATTTTAAATAAAGAAAAAACCCTGTCAACCCTGATTCAACAAATATTAACCGAGAGAATGGTATGTGCAAGACACTAAGAAAAGTACTACAAGAAATTCAGAAAATAAATATGACAAAAATGTTGCCTTCAAGGAGCTTGCAGACTAGAGAGGAAAAGCATGTGCCTAAATAACCATAGTATAAGATGGAAAATGATTAATGTCTTAAAATTAAATTCAATTTTGAAGGCATTATATTTATATGTAAATCTCTAGCACATTAGAATGCCTAGAGGTTTTCTATAATATTTCATAAATAGCATGCATTTAGAGTCTTGAGAATTATGAAAACAAAGACAATTATTGATATCCAGGTTTTGTCAATCATACTATTTCTAAGTTATCTCAAAAAGGCAAAAAACAGATATGGCAAACTAAGTGACCCATTAAAACTGAATATCAGAGTTTCTTACACAAGTGTGGTAGCTTTAAGTATAGTTCTTATGTACATACACAGAAACATTACAAGTTTTTGAAAGCAAACCTTTTCTTGCAAACACAGGAAAAGAGCAAGAGAAAGAATGTAACTTTTCCTTTACCATGGAAACTTAGATTCAGTCAAAGGAAAGTTACATTCACTATACTCACCCTGTAAATACAGAGTGCCACCAATTAAAAGATCCCACCCAAAACAAAAATGCAAAAGAGAACCAAGATGAGTGAGACAAATCAATATTGCACGTATACCTGGGCGAAATGTCATCTTCATTTTGACCAATGCTTCACTGCAGTCTGCCAAAAGATATTTTGCCTTCCTATTATAGATTCGAACAACTCCCAAAAGAAGGTGTCCTGAAGTTCGAAGTGCAATTTTCACCTTTCAATAATTTTTAAAGTATTAGAATATTAAAAATTAGATGTAAAATGGTTAACTTTTCTTCTTATTCAATGAAGATAATTGAATGTGGCATTTAAGTGAAGTAGGCTATTATTGGTTTCATGGGAAGAATATAAAATCTTCAGTCAGGCAGGCTTGGGGTCAAACCTTGATTCAGTTGCTGAGGCTGAGTCATTTAACCTTCCTGAACTTCAATTAATTAATAATGGCTACCACTTATTATATACTTATTTTGTGCCAGGCATTGTCCTAAGGACTTTCAATATATTGATTTAATTTTGACAACAACCTCTATTTAAAGAAGAAAAAACTGAGATTCAGATATATTAAGTAGCATAGCCAAAGAAACACAACTATTAAAAGATGGAGCAAGAATTAAATTTAAATTTGACCAACTCAAAAGTTCATACTCTTAACTACCACACTTCACTGAAGCAAAAAGAAGCTCACAGGGTTGTTGTGAAGATTAAATAAACTAATGAATATAAAGTCTAGTCCAGTGCCTGAAACATGATAGATTTTCAATTATAATTCGTCCTTCTCTCAAGCAGAAAAATACTTAACCTACAAAAATACTGAAAAATTTTAATGAAAATTCTAATAGCTTGTTATAGTTTTCATAATTAACATAGTACTTTATTGCTTATTAAATGTTTTCATATATATTTTGATTTATACTCAATCCTCCTTTTTTCTTTCTACTCTCTCCATTTATTCACTTATTATTTTTCTAAGAAATACTTATTTGGTACCTAGTATGTATATTTTGTTAGGGAATAAGAAAGGATTACAAAATGTATATAAAAGATGGCCTTTATTCTTCAGGGTCCAATCTACTTATGATACATATAAAAGTTATTCTTGCCAACAGAAACCTATACAAGCATATATATATATATACACACACACATATATATTCAGACAATAAATTTTATAGGAATTAAAAAAGAGAAGACCATTGGAGAAGTAAAACTTCCTTGGAAATGTATTTCATGATATAATGCATTTTAATTCCTTTCCTCTCCATAGGTAAATACATACCATAATTTTAATCAATAACATACCTTAGGTGAAATAATTTTTTCAATGGTTATCTCTATATTACATTCAAATACATGAGCCTTTGTGAGTTTCTTCTCCCAGTGAGCTGCAAGCCAGATTTTGGCCAATGGCCCTCGCTTACTCATAAGCACATGTGTGTAGAACATGTTGCCTGTATTCCTTAGTTGTATTTAACGAACTAGAGAGAAAATTAAAAGACATTTAAAATTTGATTACAAAAACGTTTTAGTGTTATTTTAGAGCAAGCAAAAACATTTTTCACTAATTCTACAAAATAACACTCAGATTATCTTCTAGTTCAATGTATCATTCAATTCAAATTATATAAAAAGAAACCCTTACTTAAGATACAAAATGACAAACTAATGACAGAGATCTATTAGATTGTGAACCACTCCTGGTTTAAATGTATCCTGATTGCTTTTTATATTTACTTATTTTATGCTATGAAGAGTTTGAGTTCTCTAATTAATATGGTCAAATAAATAGAGGGGGAAGCCTGGGAAAAACAGGAGATGGAAACAGGGAGAAAAAAACACCACAGAATAGGAAAAGGTGGACAAAACTAAGAAAACTGAACATAGGTCACTTCTTTCCTAAAACTTAAGAATTTGAGAAGTGTTGGGTGATTGATTTATATCCAGGTGTTGAATTTCTTTGTTCTCTTCAAGATGCTCTGATTTATCAACAATATATTAATTATTGAAGTTAAAGTAATGGAACTTCAAAGGGCCATAAAGTGGACAAAAATCAGAAAACAAGAAACTATAAGGAAAAAATCAGAAGAAGGCAAGAAAGGGAAAAAAAGAATCAAATTAAAATGTTTTGAAATAAGAGTGGTAAAAGAAAACCACATAAAACAAAAACAAAGAATTTATGCACATTTCTACAAATTGTATTGTTCTCAATAATATCATAAGGCTCCATTATTAAGCAAAGGGATGTCATAACAGTGTGGCTGACTTCTAGAGAAGAACCAAATTATTTCTCACATACAAGTAATCTTAAGTTGCCACCATAAAAGCTTCTTTTTTATTTATTTGCTATTTAAAGTTCTGAGAAAAGAGTAAATTGAGCCAAAATGAACACAAAAACAAAATTAGCCACAGAATTAAAAAATTTAGCTAAACTTTGATCAATGCCCATTTCCACCCCAAGAATCAAATCATTGGGCCCCAAAGAAAGATTATGAAATCTACCAAACCACATTCCCCAATTGGCGCTGGAGATGTTAATGTCTGTGGCCTGTGTTTGCTTTGGTCCAACTTTCTTCCTTTCTATTCTGCGTGTTTGGTATCTTGGAGTCAATTCCAATTTATCTTTTTTATGCACTTTATGATGATTAATGTACTTTTAAGAAAAAAAAACCCCTATGATTTAAGATTCCTGACACACGGATTTTCCTGAGCACCTACCCCCCACCCCCCTTCCCCCCTCACCAAAAAAAAAAAAAAACCTCCCACAAACCCCCCAAAGGTCCTGAGGGTGATTTCTGGATTGAATTTGCTCTGCGCAAAGTAACGCTAACGCTAACGCACGGCCCTAGGAGCCCGGGAACGGGCTCATCCGAGAAGGGCCCCAGGGAGGGCGGGGCGGACGGGAGCCGTCGGCAGGAGGGAGGGGCGAAGGCGGGCCCGGCGGGGACGCTCCGGGAGACAGCCGAGGAAGGCGAGCTCCTTCGGGGGAGCAAACAGGGGGCGAGCACAAGGAAGGTGCTGGGCTAGGCAGGGGGCTGAGAAGACGGCGAGCGCCGAGCACAGGGACGCCGAGAGCTCCCTCCACAGACGACGACTCAGAATTCAAGGCGCGCTGCTCCGAGAGGGAAACTGAGGCCAGACGGTCGACCAAAAGCGCCAGTTTCCCCCTCAGGGCTGGGGAGGAGATTCCGGGCCGCGCCTCCAGCCCAGGGAGGGCTGCGGGCAGCGGCGATTCTCCCTCGGGCCGGGCTCACGAAGGTGAGGAGCCCCGCGGGGCGCGTGCCGGAGGCTGGGGGCCGCGGCCCCCATCACTCAGCCCGCCGTCAGCCATCAGGTCCCGCCCGGTCCCTCAGATTGCGCCCTACTTTCAGCGCCAGGTTTGAGGAGAGATGCGTCCGAGAAAGGGTAGCGAAGAGAAGCTGTCTGGTAAGCCTGTCGAGCCTGAGGTGCTTTGCCCCCAGCCGCTGGGCGTCAACCAGCGCGCGGCCCGATGAGGGGCGGGGCAGGGCGGAGCGAGGGGTCGGGCTTAGGGGGCGGAGTGGTCGTGGCTGGGCGGGGCGAAGGGCGAGTCGGGGAGAGGGGCGGGGCATTAGGCAGCACGGGACGAGGGGCGGGGCTGCAGGAGACCGAGAGGGTCTAGGGGGCCGCTATTCAGGAGCTGTGTGGGGCTAAGAGGGCAGTGGGCAAAGGACCCGGTAGGACGAGGGGTGGGGTGGAAAGGGGACCGGATGAGGACAAGGCACTACAGTCTTAATGCGAAGTCACCCGCGTGGTGCTTGCACTCTTGGAGTTCTCTGATCTTGGACCTCACCGGTGCAGAGGGATGACTGGGGCGGGCCAGAACAGTTGCGAAAGGTGGTAATGTCTGACCCCTCTCCCTGGTCTCTGAATATCCCTAGGATGGAGTCTCATCTCTTCCATTTACTAGCTAAGGGGGTTATTTAATCCCCTGAACGTCAGTTTTTCTCATCTGCAAAATGGAAATTAGAATAAAAGTACCTGTGCCATAGGTATTGTAAGAGATAAATGAGATGAATCCATGCAAAAGAGCCTAGCAACAATAAATGCTCAATAAAAATTAGCTATTATTACTGCTGTTATTAAAAAATATCATTTACAATGATCCACCCTTTGGGGATGGCAAACATGTTCTTGTCTGGAATATCACAGCTTACAATAACCAAAGGCAATTGCTAGAACCTAAGATAAATCATACTAGAGCATAAGGATCCAAGATTGGCTTCTTTCCTTGAGCTTCATAGTAAATACTAATAAACCTTGAAACAGCAATGTCTTCTATTATATAGGTTATTGATAAGGTCCCAGGCCTTGCTGATATTGTCTCCTTTACTCTTCAAACAACCTTACAAAGTAGCTCCTCTTTTGCAATGAGGATATGGCCTAGAGAAGAGGAGCAACCTGTGCAGGGTCATGTAGTTGGGAATGGTAGAGACAGGATTCAAACTCAGGTTCAGGTCCCGTTTTCCCACCTTAGGAAAAGGTGTCACAGCAACCGCTCAGCAGATGTCTGGGAGAGACCCTTGATGGCAACCTCACCTCTACCTTACTATCAATATATCAGCAAGCCCATTACTCTACCTTCAAAGATGACTTTATCCACTACTCACTCCACCTTCGTCTAAGCCACCCCTCTCCTGAAAAAGCTGCAACAGCCTCCTCAGCAGTCCCCTTCATGTCACTTGCCTCCCATAAAATCTCATTGTTCACAATGAAGCCAGAGGGGTCTTGGAAAAAATGTAAATCAGATCATGTTACCCCCTAGCCTCCCCCTTTCCTCCTTTAAAGCCCTTTAAGTCTTCTTGTTGCTCTCAAAATAAAACCCAAACTTCCTCCTAACAGCTACAGGGCCCTACGTGGTCTCCCCGTACTTATTATTCTAGCTTCATTTCATATGGGTGGATTTATCTTGACAATAATGAATCTTCAGTTCCAGGGCCCTTGCTTACATTGGCCCCTCAAAGTCCCTTGGAGAAACACAGCAATTTGTTCACCAGGGCATATGTTTTTGTAAACATGGCAGAGTTAAGATATTTGTAACCCTTTAAGATCGATGTATCTTTCCACTCCAACTCCCTCTGTCACACCATGTTGGTGGTGGCAATGGCATACCTGAAGGATGTGCCTAAGGCGAAGTTAAGTGTACATTTAATTTAGGTTCCAAGAAATTTTGGATGGAATGGTTGCGTCTCCCAAAAATTCATATGTTGAAATCCTAACCCCCAATGTGATGGTATTAGGAGGTGGGCCTTTAGGAGGGCATTAGATCATGAGTGCAGAGCCCTCATGAATGGGATTAGTGCCCTTTATAAAAGAGACCTCAGAGAGCTCCCTGGCCCCTTCTGCCACGTGAGGACACAGAAAGAAGACAGCAGCCTATGAATCAGGAAGCAGGTTCTCACCAGACATTGAATGTGTCAGCACCTTGATCTTGGATTTCCCAGCCTCTGTGAGAAAGAAATGTTTGTTGTTTAAACCACCCAGTGTATTGTAGTTTGCTACAGCAGCCTGAAAAGACATAGACAAGAAGGATCCATTGATATGGTTCACAGTCACTTTCATCTATAGGAATGTCATTGCTGTCCATCCTCAAGGTAGGAATGGCTCCCAGGAGTACTCCTACTGCCCACTGTGCTGATTCACCCTGCACCTGTGACAGGATGCCCAGCATCAGGAGTATGTACGTAGTGGGTGGGAAACAGGATCTGAAACATACAGAGCCAGAAGCTAGTCTACGGAAAATTCTCCCATCATCAGACATATTAAACCGTAAGCACAGGATTTGGTTCTCAGCAAAGCTTAGTTACAGCAGAAGTTCTTTCCTGTCGGAAATATATTTGGCAGTACAGCACATATAATTAAAAGTGCACTGCATGTTTTTTCTTCCTCTCTAGTAGGAATTGCGCGAACTAGAGAAATCGGAGTCCTGTGTTTGTAGGTCATGTGGTAAACATATGGCAGTCCTAACAGCTAGGACATTCGTGTGGGAGGCTGCATGTCTTATGCTCTCATTGTATGGGGCCATGTCTTCCTTAGCGTTTCTGCCTTAGTGATGTCTGGTGCTTACAGATGAAGTGACCTGTGAATCATAATAAAAGTAGTAACTCATCGAGAGGAATAAACACATTTCAAATCAAAGTAACAAACAGACTTGGATTGTTTGATAATCTAATTAATTAAAAGGTGTGAATTACATAAATACATTGGGTACGGACTTAAATTTCTCACTTATTTGACATGAAATTCTGACATGGATGAAGATTTAATCTTTAGAGGGGTGGGAATTGACAACAAACTGGTCAACGTGCTGTCAACTCAAAATTAGTCACTATTCAAGATTTACAACTCATGTATAAAAACCTTAGAGGTTTTCCCAAATTTGGCAATAATCCTGAAAATTAACATGGCATGAAGCTTTACAACTTAAAGAAAA